TTATTATTATTATTATTATTATTATTATTATTATTATTATGTCTTCTTCAATAAAAACAAACATACAAATAAATTTTCTCCCTTTTCACTATATTGAGACTCTAGTTTCCTTTGTTTTTGTCTGTTCATGAAATGAGTGGTTACATATATAATGTTGGATAACTAGGTAAATCAATCAGTGATTCAACTGCAAAAATAGTTTGATAAAAAGACAGTGCAGTTTCTAAATCAAAGATGCACCAGTTGTAGGAACTTAGAGGATTAAGCACAAGCCTCTAATGCCAGCAGAAATACTCCTTCTGCCCAGCAGAATCATTTTCTCAGTAATCTGGCAAATCTCTAAACTGAGAGGGTTTTGGATTCAGCTGGCTGTCTACTGGCTCTTTGCCATCTTTGCCAGTGAGGATTGTGCTATAACAGTGCCAGCTGTGTGTGCATGCATGCATGGGGCAGGGTAAGATTAGGCACAAGCCTCTTCTGCCAACAGAAATCCCTTTTTGGTACCAGAAATCCCCTTCTTTTAGTAGAGCCTTCTTCTGCTGATCTTGGGGATCTGCCAATAGAGTGATCTGTTCCACAAGCTAAGATCTACCAGCACAAGAGCTCAAAAGGAAGCAGAGAAAGGACAGGGCAAGAAAAGGATCTCCAAATTACACTAGTTCCAACCTTCTCTAGCCAATAGATACAGCCACAATGCCAGCCCAAAGTTAGTCCAGGACAAAGGTAAGCCTTAATAATTTCCAATATCCCTAAATTGGAAGGGATATGGACAAAGCACAGCTTCTACTGGGTTAGTTTGTGTCTGAGTTGGCCCTTGACCACTTAGGATTACACTGTAAGTCCAAAAAACTTTTGGGACTTTATGCTAGTGTAACCAGGAATTGAAGGCACACAACAAATTTGGAGGCACACAGCAACAACAACCAGGGAGTTAGATGAGAGTATCTGCTTTTTCCATTGAGGAGGTACCCAATACTTCCTTACACCACAGTTTTTCTCAGCAGCATAGTAGCTACTGAACACATATCTAGCAGTAGCTGTGTTGGTCATGTAGTAAAGTACAACAGACATCCAAAATCCACAGAACAGTGATACCTTTATTAATAATATTGGGCCAAACAAAATACATGTGCTACTAAACAGATTGTGAACACAGGAATTTGGCCACAGAGTGGAATCCTAAACACACATCAAATTTCACCCCAAACTCAGTGGGCTTTAATTTTGAGTAAACATATATCTATCTTAGTACCGTATAGCAAAGGCTTTAATGAACTTGAATCCATTTCATCAGATACAATCTTATGCCCAAATACCTTTATTAGCATTTAAAGTGCCACAAGATCCTGCTTTTACTGATTCAACAAACACAGCTACATTAGGGCTGATATCTTGTGCACATCTACCTGAATATATTTCTCAATGAACTAATGTAGCTTATTTTTCAGAAGACATTAGTATTGCACTGTAAAACAAGTTTCTGATTTCAGGAAGTTTCAAAAAAGATTCTGACACTTCTTTCAAATACAGTATACTTTTTCCTAACTGCAGTTCAACAATTGCATCAGTCTAGCTTTGCATGAACACTAAGGATGGAAAGAATATTCAAACATATGCAAAAATGGTCAAACATATTTTTACAAATATTGGGAAAGGCTAACAAAGCAAACCCTATCTATATGAGAATCTTCACACGTCAGGACTTATTCTGTGCAATGTTTATATGGAAACCAGCATTTTCAGCACAGAAAATAATATCTATGTACAAAAAATATTACTTTCATGTAGAAAATGCTGTTTTCTGTGCAAAAAATGCAATGTGCAGATTTTGCACAGAAGACGTCCTGAACTGCAAATAGTCTTTTAAAAGATGAAGATGTACAGCAGGAAGAATATTGCTAAAATTACTCATTGGGTCCTTCAGAAATGAAACTAGTGAAGTATTAGATCCAAATGGGACTCTGAAGAAATATTATAGTTGGAAGTGAAGTATTTGAATATGAGTCTCCACTATATAATAGCTCCATTTGTTGTTGTGTGCCTTAAAGTTGTTGATTTATAGTGACCCTAAGGCAGATTTCTGGGATTGAGAGTGTGTAACTTATTCAACATCACCCAATGGCCAAATAGAGATTTGAACCCTGGTCTTCAGAGTCATAGTCCAATGCTGAAACCACTATGCCATGCTGGCTCTGTACCTTCTGCTACATTCCTGGAATATGTTTTTTCCTCATGATTGGCTTTTCTTAAACTTAAGGACACATTCACTTTGTCACAGGATATAACTGATGCAGCATCCTTCCTCCCTTTCATGAAACATTGCATTCTAAGCACTTTCTATATACTGCATCCTAATATTCCCTGCTAAATCTTTTGGAAGCTGTTTACTTGAATGCTCCCAACAGAGGCAATCTTCAAGTATTTAAATCCAAATCAAAATGCTTTAGATATCTCCCATGACTAAAAACATTCATGTTTCTTTCTCCCCATGCAGCAGAGATGTGGTTCAGTTTATCCAAGTAGTTAGTTCATAATCCAGAAATACATTCAGTGTAATTGAAAGACAATATTCTGAAACAGATTTATCTGTCAGAGAAAGACACTTTAAGTGTTAGGCCTTCCTTCTTCAAACCCTGCACCTTTTACATTTCAGCTGCAAATAAGAGGCATACCAATCAGAAATCCATCATATTTATTTCTGGTATCAGCTGAAAATATTACCTTCCCCACTCCCTGAAACTTTCCATGAAGGCATCTTCTTATGTCACACACACTTCACTTGACAAGTTTCATTTAGCAAAGAACATGCTTTGAACTTCAGGTTATTCTTCAAGATGGGGGTAGGAATTATAATTGATGGATATGGAATTTTGAAACATGATTATCAGAGAGTATGGATTGGATGATTCTCTTCACAGGGATATATTTTGCCTTGTGTTATTGAGGTGGACTGTGGATGTTAAAATGAAGAGACTAAATTTTGAATGGAGTTTTAAATAAAAGAAAATACCATAAGATCTATAGGGGCACTACTACTACTGCTACTACTAGCTGAAAATATCAGAGACTTGAAACAATTACCAAGGGGAGTTAAAGAAGTACAAAGACAGGATTACTGCTGAACATAAAGAAAAATTGATAATGACCATGGAGGATCTACATAAAGTCAACTTAGACAATGAGGAAATCAAAATAGTTAAAGAGTTCCTGTACCTTGGATCAAACAGGATCAGAATGGAGACTGCAATTAACAAAGCAGAAGAAGACTAAGAATGAGAAGGGTAGCCATGGAGGGACTAGATAAGATCCTAAAGTGTAATGATATACAACTGAGCACTAAAGTTTGAATTGTTCAAGTAATTGTATTCCCCCTCACCATGTATGGATGTGATTGCTGGACAATGAAGAAAGCAGATAGAAAGAAAATCAACTCATTTGCGATATGGTGCTGGGGAAGAGTGCTGAGGATACTTTGGACAGCCAAGAAGACAAACAAATGGGTCCTAGAACAGATCAAGCCTGAACTCTTCCTTGAGCCCAAGATGACCAAATTGAGGCTGTCATACTTTGGCCACATCATGAGATGGCATGACTCATTAGAAAAGACAATAATACTAGGAAAGGCAAAAGACAGTAGAAAGAGAGGAAGACCACATACCAGATAACTGGACTCAATCAGGGAAGTTACGGGCCTGAATATGCAGGACCTAAGCACAGCAGTGGAGGATAGGGGGTCTTGGAGATGTCTCATCCACAGGATCATCATGAGCTGGGGTCAACAAAGGCACTTAACAAACATAGGGCCTCTGAGATCTAGTGTAGGGTAATGGTTTGAACACTGAACTACAACTCTGGAGACCAGTGTTAAGTCCTTAACTCAGCCATGGAAACCCATTGGGTGACCTTGGGCAAACCATATACTCTCAGCCCCAGAAATCCACCTTAACATCTCCATGAGTCAAAACAATTCAAAGACACACAACAACAAAATAGAGTCTCTAGAAGTATCTGGCTTTTTTCATGACTTGTATTTTCTTTGCTGTTATTAAGTACAGACAAAATAATACAATCATGAGGAATTCAGAAGCTATTTTCCTATAGTTTCAGGTCTTAAAATATGTGAAGTCTCAAAGCAGGACTGGAAGGCAATAATCCTCTCCTGCTGTCATTCACCAGCAGTTGGTACTCAAAGGCATATTGCTTCTAATCCTGGAGGCTGTATAGTCATTGTGACTACATGCTACTTCCAGGATCAGAGATATTATGTCCTGTTTTGGGACTTCCCACAGACACCTGCTTGGCTACTGGAGAAAATAGGATGGTGGGAGAGATGGGCCTTTGGTCTGATTCAAGTAGTTTTACATTTGTATATTTCAATGCATCAGGGTGCTTGCATTAGTAATATCCCTGTACTTCATTTGAGAAAATTTCTCCCTTACCTTTGAGTACCAAGATAGCTTCCAGGTGAAAAACAGAAGAAAACATAGCAATAACAAAAATAGGAAAAAATGGAATGATTGATACAGCAATTATTAAAGCAACTGGGCCAGTTTAATATACAGATTTAGATATAGATAAGCAGGACAGAAGAATCCCTCAGAAGAGGGACAGGACTTGAATTCTCCTTGTTACTATACCTCCTCATGCACATACACCCAAATGGCTCAGGGAGACTGGGGACCCTCCAGAATCATTTTCATGCAGCACTGACAGCTTCAAGAAGAGGGAAAGGGGGAAAAGGAGGCAGAGCAGAGGTAAATAAATACTTTAAATAAAAAATGAATAATGTAAGAGACAGTGGAACAACTGCATCTCCCTGGGAAAGAACTGCAAGAAGCTGGGTCTGCTAAACAGAAATCCAAGTGTTGCATTTTCACCAGACTTGTCTCTCAAGGTGACAAAAAAAGTGGAGAGGAGAGCAGAAACTGAAATGATTAGCACAGTGTACAAAGAGGTCCACAAGAGAGACACAGGGAATACTCCTTCAGCAGTTATAATAGTTTCCTATAAGGCTGAACCCAAATCATTTTTGGATTTATGATGAGTCACTTATTCTTTGTTAACTGTTCATTTACACCCCTTCTGCCCAGCTGGCCAATTTGAACTGCACTAAGATTGGTTCAGTGGTTGTTTGAAAGAAAAGGTTTACTAAAGTTCCACCTCATAGCATGAATATTTGCTCTGCCACTTTTGAACAGAAATAATTATTCAGGGATTTGGGAAAAGAATTTCCACAATTCCATTCCATTCCATTCTTGTTATTCTTTGACTTCAAGACATTTCCAGTTAATGGAAATGACAAACCTATCATAGGATTGTCATGGATAGATTAGTTCAGAAGGAGCTGCCACTCGCTTCCTCTTAGCTGAGAGAGTAGGACTTCCCCAAGGTCATCCAGTAGACTTCCATGGCTGAGCAGGGATTGAGACCAACACTCAAATACCACACCATGCTGGTTCAATTCATTGGTGTTTGTTTTTTAAACTTTATTTATATCCCACCTTTCCCCCAGAACTGGGACTCAAGGTTGCTTACCAAATTTAAAGAATTACAGAGAAAACCATGTGGCTAAAATCATACAAAAAGTTATGATTAAAATAGTATTAAACTCAAGCAAACTATTTAAAACATTGTTTTAAAAACAAAGAATAACAATAGTATATTACAAAAACTTGCTGTAGAAGAAAGGACAGTCAATGACAGGACAGCAAGGATGTAGCCAGTCTAGCCTCCCTAGAAAGGGGGTTGTAGAATTTGGGAGCTGACACAGAGAAGGCCCTCTCTTGCCCTCCCTCTAAATATGCCTGTGAGGGTGGCATCATAATCCCATTTATCATACCATGGTGGTTCCTGGGAGTTGAAATCCAAAACATCTGGAGGACTGTATTGACCTGGAAGGCCTGATTGACTCAGATCCTGCTCAGTTTAGGTTCAAACAATACAAAGAAGAAAGGTTAAGTCACTGATGAAAAAAAGAGGGAATGGATGTGAACAGAAAATAAAAGAAAAAAGGTGTTCTCACATTTATTTGGCTAAGTGTTGACACATCCTCAGATGCAGATGGTCCCTGGGTCAGATTGCTAGATGTTGCATTGCTCTCCCTGCTCCAGATGTGCCTTCAGGTTCTTGGGCCATATGCCAGCATTTCTCAAGTACTGGACAAAAGAAATCCCTCCCAAGTGGAAGTAATATACTTTAACAGGATAAACCTTCTAGAAGTGAAGAGATTATGCAGGTTTGAGATGGCTGTAGTCTCCATTCTTCCATCCCTCTGAGACAGGAAGGGGAGCCATGTTTTCAGAGAGAGCTTCTTAACAGCATCAGCATTAGGACTAGCACAATCAACCTGGCTGTATCTGTTAATCTTTAGGCTTAAGACCTCTTGACTGACTCAAACTGAGTATAATGAAGCTATAAAATATGGGTTTTAAGCATTGAACATATATGAGTTGTTATCATGAACATGTATAGATAGATTAATAAAAGCTCCTCTCCAGTCTCCCAGAAGCACAGTTCATTGCAGGGACTGAATCTTTCCCACTCCTCTTGATAAACTCCTGATTAGATGGTAGCCACAGCTTTACCTAACCTATTCCTTTTCTCTTCCTTGTATTGTTCTCCTTCCTCCTCCTGCTGTAGCAAAGCAGGACTCCAGGTTTGCCACACAGCAGCATAGGGACAGGGTAGGGGAAAGAATGGGAAGAAAGAGCCTCAATAACTGACCTCTTTCTTTTGGCTTCCACCTCAGTGATCCAGTGTATCTGCTCTGAGTTTTATTGCAGATGTTGGCTGACAGGGAAGCCATCAGCTTCAGTAATTGGTAGTTCAAAAGGGACAGAGTCTGATTCAAGATGTGGTGTTATAGAACTAATCTGCCATATTCACAGAATTTTATGGTGGATTCAAATCATGTTATCTTCCACTAACCCTCCTGTCTCTTACCACTGTTTTATCTATGTTCTATCTTTGCCTGCACCATATTAGATTGTAAGTGAAACTAGACTGATCAGGTCTGGAGGGATATATAGATCAGCTCATTGCACAGTATCCAGCAGCATCTGTTATTGTGGCTCAGGATTTCATTGTGCAAAGCAGCCAAAATGGCAAGGCACTATTTTCCTACTTTCATGAAACTCCCACCCACAATTGATGACATTCATCTTATTCTGGTCAGAAGTTCCAAGGATAAGG